GGTGTGGGTCGTGGGTGCAGGCGCTGCTGAGAGTGGGGCGGGGGCCCTGGGGCAGTGGAAGGACACGGACCAGCGCCCTCGGACTCTGACCCCCCTCCCGGGCCCTGTGCTCTCTCCTGACAATGGTGTAGGGAGCGGGCACAAGGAGATGCCTGAGCTCAGTGATGGCTCAAATCAAGGTTTGCTGCGGGGCCTCCCTCACCTCATGGCCCACGAGGAGTAGCTGACAGGGAGACTGAGGTCATCCTTTATCCAAGAGAGCAGGTCCAGGACCACCAGAGGAGTGGTCAGGGTGGTCTGGCACCACTTGCCACCCAGGCTGTGCTGGGCAGATTTCCATTGCTCAGGAGGGGCCAGGCCTAGATCTGGGTGCTTTGCGGGTGCAGTGGGAGGTGGCAGATGGTGGTGGACTCAGCCCTGGTGTGGCACTGGACTGGCCACTCTCTATCTTCAATGAGACCTGGGCTTCATGGCCTTTTGAAATGCCTTCTCATCAAAGAAACATTGCTTGCACATGGGAGGGCTGGCTTGTGAAGCGGGTGCGCATTATCAGAAAGTCTGCAGGCTTCAGTCCACTCACGAGGGAGGGCTCTACATCCGTGTGTTCTGGACATGCTTTTCTTTATCACCACTTCGAGATCTGCTCTAAAATCATTTCCAAAGAGGAAAACGTGCCCCCGCCTCCATGCGTGAGAATGTCCCTCACATCTTTGGGCCTGCCTTACTGACAGGTGGAAAATCACATTTCTGCATGTTCAGTTTTCCTGTTGGCCAGTAGGAACTCTCCTCCCGTCCCTTGGCGGTGTCAGACTGCAGCGTGTCTTTCCCAGTGGGCCTCCAGGAGCTATCACCTGCTGATGTCAGCCCGTTACAGGTGTTGCCACCCCTCGGCTCTCACTGCGTGCTGGGTGGCTCAGGCCCCAGGAAGGTCAGGACGTGAATAGTGGAAGTCCGTGAACACACAGCATGAAAACTATGTGTGTGGATTTCAGAATCTTTTGGTACCAAAATAAACTCATATTAATTCCATTTTCCATCAACTTTTTAAAGTCCCCTTGTATTTTCCCTGTGGTTTCAGTCTCAGTTTCATATTTAGAAAGCCCTTCTCTGCCCAGGATCATGGCTAAAAGCCACCATTTCCTTGAATGTTGACAATCTTAGTTTCCAAAATTAAATATTGTAACTGCTGTCTGCTTTGGTGCAGGAGTAGGACAGGGTCCCAGTCTCTCTTGTTCCAAATGATTGGCAGTTATCCGGCACTCCCGCAGTCTCACTGGTCTGATGTTTTACGGTTGTCAGATGGCCACGCATGCCCAGCTGCTCTGAGCCCTGCCCCCCGGCTGCTCCGGCCCTCCTCTGAGCTGGTTGCTGGCCCCTGTGCCGCGACCCACTCATGCCAGGGAGGCGAGTCAGATCGGAGCAGCCCTCTCTGTCCTGTGGGATCGGCATGTCGGTGGCTGCCTTCACACCCTTTTCCTCCACAAGCATTTAAAGAAAGCAGTTTCTTAGGTTGAGTTATGGAGCAGCGGGAGTGGGTGTGGGGGCGCCAGGGGCTTCCAGGGCAGCTGGCTCCTCCTCTGAGCCCCACGGGGGCCAAGGGTCCTGAGTCCCCAGGGCCAGGAGGCCACACAAGCCTCCTGCTCCTTGGCTCTCTGCAGACCACCTAGGTGAGGGGCTCGTGGAAGTATCCTCAGGAGACGGCCCTCCCTGGGAGGCAGAGCTCGTGAGCAGGATCAGGGCCCTGTCAGCCACGGAGAAGAGCCTGGTGCTGGAGACTGTCAGCCACTACTTGGAGGAGCGCGGCCAGGTGGGTCAGGCTTGGGGCTGAGCTTGGGTGGACAGGGCATGGGACATGCTGTCCCCCCGCCCCCCCCGCCCGTGGAGAGGGGACAAAGTGCAAAGACCTCGGGGCCAGCAGGAGGGCAGTGAGAGGGGTGGGAATGCTCCCGGAAGGGCTGTCAGGGCCAGGCTGTTTGGGCTTGGGGCCATGTTAAGGGCCGAGGTCTTAAGCAGCAGGTGTGGCTAGGGCCACTGCTGGCCTGGCTTTGCTCCACGGCCCTCTCCTGACCCTTTTTGGGAGTGGTCGCTGTGTTCGCAGCATGTGTCCCATCCTGGAAGGGCCCTCCCTGTCTTGTCCCTGCTCCAACAACACGTCCCCCACCGTGGGCTGGGGATGCCGTGGGCCTGGCCCAGACACTGTGCTCTGCCCCAGGGTGCCGGGAAGGAGCAGGTGTGGGGCACCGAGGATGTTGCCATCCGGGAGCTTCTGGAACCGTGGCACCTGGTCCCCCAGCAGACTCTGGAGCAGGTCAGAGCCTGGGCAAGGCTGACAGTGCACCCTTGGCCATAGCCTGTGGCCTCTCAGGCCACCTCCAGGTCCTGGGTACTCGGACGTGCTGGGACAGCACAAGAGCCACCGTTTTGTGTGGCCTCTCCCCCATGGAGTGCAGGGGTGCAGAGGGGCCCTGTAGGGGGGGGTCTGCTCAGTGGATCTGCAGTGCGCAGGGGAGAGCAGGGTGAGCACTCTGGTGGGCTCGGTTACGTGGGGATCGCAGGAGCAAGGTGCAGTCCTGTCCTGGGGGCTCTGAGTAGTAAGGCGGCATGCCAGGTCTCAAGTGGGCACCCATTTATGGGATGGGGTCGCCCTCAGGGACCAGCAAGGGGCACCAGGCTGCAGGGAGGGACAGGGGTCTGGGCCAGCACACTCCCCTCCACACAGATGGACATCTGCATCCTTGGCCTCAGGGGCAGGCAGCATGTCCATCCCTCTCTCGCCCTGGCCGTAGACTTTCCTCTTCCACCTCTCTGGGCTGGTCCTGCGGGAGTGTGATGACACGGAGCTGGTGAAGAGTCACCTGGCCCACCTCCTGGAGCTGCCCCACCAGCCCTGCAGCCAGCGGGAGGTGGGTCGTTGTGCTGCCTGAGGGACCCTGGACCAGTGCTGGCGCCTTCTGTCCAGTGCTGGCCAGCAGTGATTGCTGAGACCAGCTGCATGTGGCCCTGCTGGGAGGAGTGGGCCCCGGAGGTGCTGGCTGTGACCCTCTGGCGGGCTGGGAGTAAGAGCGCTGTTGCCAGGCATGGGCTTGTAGCGTCCTCTGCCCTGCAGGGCATCGCACTCGCTGTGGGCCTGACGTCGGCCTCACACCTGGAGGATGTGTGGGCCGCACTGGAACACCTGGGCCGCACCAGGTTCCTGAGGTCAGCCCTCTGCTTGGCAGATGGCCAGGTATGGAGACTGTGCATCCTAGGGAGTGGCGGGGCTTCATCCCTGAGCTTGGGTCTGCTCATGGGTGAGCTGAGGGCTCCTGCCTTGCCTACCTCCCCGGGTGGCTGGCACTGGGCTGCATGGATGGAGGCGAACAGGCCCTGACCAACTCCAGTGCTGTCCCCAGGGCCCTGAGAGCAGGCTAGGGCCAGGGCTGCAGGCCCACCTTGACCTTGGGTGCCTCACCTCTGCCCCGACCCTCTACCCTGGGAGGATTACATGCTGGGCCACTCTGGTGTCCCGGCCAGTCTCTGCCCCAGGAGCCTCACTGCAGAGAGCAGAACAAGAGGCGCCCGAAGGAGGCACTGCTGGGAGTGTGGGAGTGTATCCAGCCAGGTGGGCTCCCTGGAGGAAGGGACTGTGCAGAGGGCCCGAAGCGAAGTGCTCTCTCAGGGCAGGTGGGAGCCAGAGCTGAAGCGGCTCCGAAGGCCCCACTTCCTGCCGCCCACTCCTCAGCAGCCGGACTCCGACCTGCACTGGAAGTGGGTGAGCAGCACTGTCCTGCTCTGCTATGGGCAGGTGGCCTTGCACGCCAGGGAGCAGGTCCTGCCCTGGGTGGACAGCCTCGCCTCCAGGATGGTGTACTACTTCTCCTGCAGCAGCTATGTGAGCCCCGAGCCTCAGGCACCTCACTGGTCCTGCGCCCCCTGGGGCCCGCGACCAGGCAGGGTCACCCCCACCCCGACTGCTCCCAGAGGCCCTGGTCACTCTGAAGCGCCAGCCACTCCCAGGCCCCGCCCTGGCTGCGGGTGGTGGGGCCGCCCAAACAGCACAGGGAGGTAGGACGCCTGGGTATGGCATGTGCGTGTGTGTGTGTGTGTGTGTGTGTCAGCAGTACTATGATGTGTGGTGTGTGTACTGCATGTAAGGTGCACGTGTGTCCGAGCTGGGTGTACTCTGTCTGTGATATCCCTAACACGCATATGGGCTTGTGTGTGTTACGTGTGCAGTCTGTGTTTGGTGTGTCATGCTTACGTTATAGCTGCAAGGGGGTATTCTTCGTGTATGTATGTTCTGTGGGATGTGTGCGCATATGTGTGTGTACAGTACCAAGTATGGCGTGTTTGCCGTGTACGCCGTGTGCGCTGTGGATGTACGAATGAGGGTGTGCCGTGTATAGTTACATGGGCGTGGATGTTGTGTGTGGGTTATGTGTGGGTTCTGCAGGCACAGATGTGGGTTTTGTATGTACGTGTGTATGTAGTGTGTGAGCTGTGTGGACATGGATATCATGCGTGTCTTCTGTGTGGTGTGGGCGTCACTGTGGGAGTGCCTCTGTCTGTGCCTGGCCCGCGGGGTGAGGCGCCTGCGGGGCCGGGCCCAGTGCGTGCCCTCTGCACCTGCAGGACAGCGCCCTCAAAACCAGCTTCTTGGCGGCGGCCGTCATGCTGGTGAAGGCTCTCAGGCGGGAGGCCGGCACCCAGAGCTACAAGTTCATGCAGACTCCAGAGCTCATCCGGTGCCTCCTGGTGAGCGACCCTGGGGCTGGAGCTCGCAGGGGAGTGGGGGACTGCTGGGCAAGCAGGCCCGTGCCTGACGCCGTCCTGCCACCGCGCCCTGCCCAGTGCATCCTGCAGAGGGAGCCCAACTTCCTGGCCACCCCCTTCCGACAGAAGATTATCCTGGTCATCGTGGGACTGAGGTAGCCTTGCGTCCCGGAGGACGAGCAGGGATGGGAGGGCATGTGCCGAGGGGCGGGCCTGGGGCCACGCGCTGCCTGGGGTGCTCAGGTGGCTTTGCCACGTGTCCAGGCTGTCGCTCAACAGCACAGGCTAAGCCCTCACCTGGTCACACACCAAGCCCTGACCTTTGTTACCAACTGACCCCGATCCCAGGATGATCTCCAGGCTTCTCACAATGTCCTCACACCTGAGAGAACCAGGAGCACCATTGGGGGTGGTCTATGCTGACCACGTCTGTGGCCCCTCCCATTCCACAGGAGCGCATTCCCAGCAGCCCCCACACCCATCCCCAGGTCAGGGTCAGGCCTGTTTGCCATCCAGAGCAGCGTCCTCATTTTAAGCGTGTTGGCCTGTCCCTGCTGGGCACGCTTCTCTGCCAGCCCTCCACCCCAAGACCCATAGCCATGCAGAGAGTCCAGGGTCTTCTGTGTTAACTGCCAGCAACCTGCGGCCCTGCCTGAAGCCCACAGTCAAGTCCACGATCCTGCAGACCTGCCTGAAGAGCCTGTACACGCTCCCGCCCCTGGAGCTGCCGGACAGCAGTCTGCCTCCACAGGACCCTGCCCCGGATGTCATGGTGACACCTGCCCCGGGCCAGGCCCCCACCCAGCGGGGGGTGGGCTCTGGCACCTCCCCTGGTTCAGCCCTACCCTGTGTGGTGGGCAAGGGGTAGAGGAAGGAGCTCCGGTCTGGGCTGAGCTCCACCCTGGCTATGCCACAGACTTGCTTAACCTTGGGGAAGCCCTCTGGTCTCTGGATTCTGGCCCCTCAAATGGGGCTCGGATCTCTGTGTGCACCCTTCCCAGTTTGGGAGGCTCTGACTCAGCTTGACTGACAGCCTGGGCTCCAGGCCCACGGTGCTCATAGGCCCGATCCACCCTGGGAAGGGCTGGGTCTGTCCTTACTGGGTCCTGCTCCCTTCTTGAGCCTCGGCTCCTAGTGGGGCTGGCAACCCTTGCCTACCTGGGCCTCCAAACACAGTCCAGGGGCCAAAGCCAGCTCTAAGGCCATGCCCAGTGCCTCCCGGGACAGGAGGACAGAGAGTGCTGGGACTGGGCTCAGTGGGCTGGCAGTGGGATGGGAAGGGCCTCTGAGAGACGGCGCTGCTGGTCCTGGCAGTGGCTTGGTTCAAGGACAGAGTGGAGCCGAGGGCCAGTGAGGTGAAGCCTGGGGCTCCAGGCCAGCAGGGACCTGCACAGGGAGGGCAGCTGTGCTCTGTGCGGCCCTGGAGCAGATGGTGAGCCCGGAGCTCTGTGACAGTAAGGGGTGCTCTCCACAGAGGTCCCACAGGGGCTGAGGAAGGCGGTGGCCCTAACTGTGCAGGGACAGCTTACCTGGGAGCATCTGGCCGCCACACTGGCCTGTCTCTGCCAGGCCCCCTTCTGGTGATTTCTGGGGAAGTCCGTAGCTGGGGGTGGGTGCCAGACCTTGAACAGGGCTGAGTTGAAGCCATATCAGACCAGGAGTGGGGACATCCAATTTGTTGACACGTCCCTGATGAACAGAAGTCCACTCGTATGTGAAGTGCGTGCTTCATGCATCCTGACACGCATCTGTGAAACCACCATCAGAATCAAGACCCATGCTTCCTGGTGCTCTAGGAGGAATCCTTTCTCCCTGCCTCTCTCTCCTGCCGGGTCCCTCCTCTCCCCTCCCTACTACAGGGCCCCACCTCTCCTCTTCCCTGCTGGGCCCCTCCTTACCCCTCTGCCCTGCGGGGTCCCTCTTCCTCTCCCCTCTCCTCTGCGGGCTCCTCCTCCTCGCCTCCTACCAAGAACACTGGCTGCTGCTGCAGATTAGGTAGTGACTTGTGGCCGTGACAGCAGTGGGTTGCCTGACTCCCTGTGCTGGTGTCGGAGCCCCCGGGTGTACTCTGGCACCTTCCTCTTCAAGGCTGACTGTGGTTCATTTTTGAGGCACCGTCTGCTCACCGGGGTCGGAGCTCCGCTGGGTGGTTTTCGGCGACTACGGGCGAGCGCTGTGCCCGCACTGCTCTGGTGTGTGTCTGACTTTCAAGCCACCCCCGCCATGCTCCAGTGGTCTCGGCCTCCATCCCACCCGCCATCGCCCTAACCCTCCCCAGCACTTGATGAGACCAGTCCCACCACCAGCAGCCATGCCTCAGACGCTGGCCGCCTCCACCGCGGTTCCCACGTCTGTTTCCGGCCCTCTCGGGCCGTTTGCTTGCCCTCCCCGACTGCTGGACTGTGTGTGTGCCCCCAAATCTGGGTGTTGAACTCGGTGGTGGGAGGCAGTGTGATGACGTGAGGTTGTCAGGGCAGGCCCCGTCGAGAACCGGGCGTTTCTAAGGAGCGGTGAGAGCGGAGACCACCATCGACACGTGCCTGCGCTCTCTCGCCACGCGGCCTCGCAGCCAGAGTTCTGTGGGAGTCCCCGGCGCAGGTGGTCCTCTAACGCCATCAGCCAAGTAAGCCTTCCTGTTACTAAGCAACAGGGAACGGGCTAGGACGGCGTGTGTTCAAACCTTGTGCTTGATTTTTTTTTGAAATTTTTGCCATAGGGTGCGTGCATTTGCTGGAGAGCCGGAGATGGGGGAGGGGGAGGTGACCATACCACAACACCTTCTCCCCCATTCTTTAAGGATTTGAGGCACACACACATGTACCCCACGTTTCAAGCCGCTGGGTCTAGGACTGGAATTGCAGTCGACCATGTGGAAGACCAGCACCTCAACTACTAGGCCACTTGCTGACCCCTCATGCCCGATTTTATTTATTTTTAGAGCGATTTTTGCTATAGGGCACATGCACTTGCCAGAGGGACAAAAAGAGAGAGAGAGAGAAAGCAAGAATCTACTCCTGGGGGGATTGCCATGCTGCGATCCCTTCTCCAGTCTCCTCTCAGGATCTTGGGCACGCACGGAGATGCACTAGCATCAGTTTTAAGCCACCGTGTCTGGAACTTGGACTGCAGCTGGCTACGTGGCAGTGCTGTCTGCTGGTCCCTCATGCCTGATTTTAAACAGGGCTCTTTGGTTACGCTGTGTCTCTTAGAGCTCCTGCTACATCTTGGTCCTGGATGGCAGCCTGTGTTGCGGTGCACTGGGTGCAAGGTCTCTCGCTGGCGGCTTGTCTTCTGCCCCCTTGGCGGCGCCATCTAAAGAACAGACGTTCTGGATTGGGAGGGACCTTGCTTGCCCTGCTTGTTGCTTGTTCCTGTGGGGACTGTGACTTGGGATCGCGGCTCAGATACTTTGTTAACCCAAGGTCACAAATATTTTCTCCTGTTTCTTCTAGAAGTTCAGTGGCAGGTTTGGGGCTGGCGCCTAGGGCTGTGTCTCGGTCCACTTGGACGGCTAGGACAAGGTGCCACGGACTGGGCACAGGCACCGCGGGCCTCAATTTTGTAATCCCTTCTCCACTCTCCTCCTGAGATTTTAGGTGGGCATGTACGCACGCCTGGTGTGATTTTTAAGCTACTGGGTCCAGGACTCAAACTGCGGTGAGCCATGTGGGAGTCCAGTCCTTTAACCGCCAGGCCGCCTGCTGGCCCCAAATCTGTCCTTTCTCTAGTGAGTTTCCTTTGCACCTTTATCTGAAATCAGTGGGCCTCTACCCACATCCTAGTCTCTCGTTCCTGCTGCCCACTGACCTACTCATCTGCATGCAATGTCGTGCTGTCTCCCACTGTGCCATGGCTGGCTGGCCCAACCAATCTGCATGTGAGCTCTAACTCCCTGTGGTGGGACTAGGAACTTTCAGGAGTGTGGGTGACCAAGGCATGAGGGCAGAGCCCATGAGCAAGGGGTCAGTGTCCTTGTGAAAAAGGCCCAGGGAAGGGGAACCCCTCCCCTTCCACATGCGAGGACACAGTGGAGAGATGCCGTCCATGAGCCAGGGCGTTTCTAAGGAGAGGTGAGAGCGGAGACAGGATTGCCAGCACTTCCACGTGGGCTCCTGGCTTCCAGAACTGAGGTGCAAGCCCCTGCTGTTCCTCAGCTGCCCAGGCTGCGGCGCTCTGTATAGCAGCCTGCGGACAGGACAAGAGGCTTCCTAATAAGCCTTGAAGTCAGGTGTGCCAGTCCTCTGCTCTGTCCTTTCTCTGTTCTTCTCTCTCTGCTATCTGCATTTCTGTGTGAATAGAGAGCCATTGGTCAAGGCCTGCGAATTGTTGTGGTTGGGATTGGGTCAGCCGGGAATCCACAGGCCACTGGGCTCACTGACATCACAAGGTTATTTCTGCTTCTCATCTGTGAACCGGGGCCCTCCCGGTGTAGCCTGGGCCCTGGCAGCGTAGGGCATCGTCTGGCTTCTGTGTGCGTGTCTTGCTTGTCTCCTGTCAGGTTCCTTCCTGTGGATTTCAACTCTGTTCATGACATCGCCAATGGGATTTGAACTTCTCATTTCCAGTCGTGCATTGATAGCGTATACAGCTGTAATCGATTTTCCACGGTTATCTTATACTCGCCTACAATCTTGCTGAACTCACTTTCTAGCTTACTGTAGTTTCACAGGATTTTACACACGAGCTCTGAAGAAAGGCGGTCTTTCTCCTTCCAGCCTGATGCCTGCCGTGCCTTATCCTTCCTGTACCGCACTAGCCCGGCGTCCAGTGCCACACCGACTGGGGCGAGGGTGGGCAGCTCATCTCATTCTTGCTGTGAGAGGGAAGGAGCCGCTTGCCCACCAGTAAACATGGTCTTCGCTAGCACTGTCTCCTTACTGCTGCTTGATAGGTACCCTCGGTTAGTTTGAGAGCACTTCTTTCTCTTCCTAGTTTTCTGAGATTGTTTGTCAGGAATAGACGTTAGATGTTGTCAGTTGCTTTTTCTGTGTCAGTGGAAATCATCAATTTTGAAATGCTGCGTTTTTATTCTCACTTAGTTCAAAATACTTTCAAATTCCAGCTTTTATTTTTTCTTTGATCTCCTGATGATGGAAACATATGTTCGTTAGTTTCAGATTTAATTGCATTCTTGTTGGAGAAAACACTGGAGAGCATGGGGCCTTTCATTTATTGGCCAAGAACGCAGCCTGTGTGGGTGAACACCCTCTGAGCGCTTACAAAGACCACACATGGGTGTTTGCAGACACCAGTCAGGCAAGGCTGGGGGAGCTGCAGTCGAAGCCCCCCGCACTCTCACTGACCTCCTGCCCACCCTCTGCTAGTGTCTGGAAGGGGTGGGAGCCCCTGCGATTGTGGGTCGTCCGCTTCTCCTCGTGACTCTGGCTGCGCCGAGTCTGTTCCGAAGCTTGCCGACGTTAGGCACATGCGTACTGTTATGCCTCGTATGTGTGTTAAGGTTTGTGTCCTGTCAAAGTTCATGCCTTAAGATTTGGTGTGATGGTAGTAAGAGGAAACATAATGCCTTCATGGTGTTGAAAGGTGGGCCTGGGGAGTGATTACGTGATTGGGGTGGGGCTGCCGTGATTGCGCTCTGGTGGGATCTCTTAGAAGGAGAGGGAGGAGCCCAGCCGCTCTGCTCTTCCCTCACTATTACCATGACTGGGACTCTGCAAGGTGCCCCCCAGATGTGGCCACGGATCATGGAGCTCCAAGCTGTGTACTGACTAAACCTCTGTTTCCATAAATCACCCAGACCGGGCATTTCTGTTAGCAATGCTACTGCAGACTAAGTTGTGTATTCTATCTCCCCCCCCCCCTAGATTTTTTGCCATAGGGCATGCACACTCACTGGAGAGAGAGAGAGACAGAAATAGAGAAGGAAAGTGAGAAATCACCCCTCCTCATACCCTAGGGGAGATGGTCACACCACAATCCCTTCTTCTCCATTTTCCTCTTGGGATTTTGGGCACACATGCACACATGCCTGGTGTGATATTCAAGTTGCGGGTCCAGGACTCAAACCATGATCAGCCATGTGCGAGACCAGTGCCTTAACCACCACACCACCTCCTGGCCCCAGACGTGTACTTTTGAGGAACTAATTCCTACATCCCTACATCATCACAAATGATTGCCAACACTGCCGGTGCTCATGATGGTGTGGGGATCTACTTTGTTTGATATTACGTATCAGCTCTAGCCATTTTTTGAGTAGTGTTGTTGTGGGTGGTTTTTCTTTTTTACTTTAAACTATTGTGTCATTATATCTAACGTGGATTTTTGGGGTTGTTTATTTATTTATTTATTTATTTGTAATAAGCATATAATTGGGTCTTGCTTTTTTATTCAGTATGATTCTGCCTTTCAGTGCAGTAGGGGCTTAGCCTGTTCGTTTGTAAGGTAGTTGGATTTATACTGCCATCTTATTGCATGTTTCTGTCTGTCCCAGCTATTCTTTGTTTTTCTTTTTATCTCTTTATTTTGAATTAATTTGACTTCTAAAAATTTTACTGGCAGGCTTGTGAACTCCCCAGAGATACATATATAGAGAGAAGGACAGTGAGAAAGCACCCCCAATATGGAGGATGGTCACACCACAATCCCTTCTCCATTTCTCCTTTCAGGATTTTGGGTATGGATGCACACTCACTGGGCATGTTTTCCAAGTCATTTTATCTGTGATTTGAACTGTGTGGTCAGCCACTTGGGATCCAGCTACTCTAACCACTAAGCTTTGGGTTGGCCTTTGACTTTGCTTATTATTCCATTTTATCTTCTTTTGGAGGGCATATTATTTGTAGCTCTGTTATGTTTTAGTAATTGCTTTGGGATTTTTAGTATACATCTTTCACTTACCATAAGCTGCCTTCAGGTGATCTTAGACCACCTTGCCTATGGTAGAAGAGCCTCACAACACCGCACTTCCACTCCTCCCCTCCCAGATTTGTGCTGCTCTTGTCATACACTTCATTTAATGTATGTGATAAATATATTGTTAGAAGTCTTGCTTTAAACAGCCAGTTATCTATGAACAAAATTTAAATATTAAGAAAAAGTGACGGGACCAGCAGATGGCATAATGGTTATGTTGCTGGACTCCAACGTAGTTGACTGCTGTTCTAGTCCTGGACCCAGCAACTTAAAACTCATGCTGGGTATATATGTGCCTGTGTGCCCAAAATCCTAAGAGGAGACTGGAGGAGAAGGGATTGCAGTGTGGCCATCGCCCCTTGGGTGAGTGCACATTAAGGGATTGCAGTGTGGCCATCGCCCCAGGGGTGAGTGCACAACTCCTATGGTAAAAATCTCTCTCTCTCTCAAAAAAAAAAAAAAAAAAAAAAAAAAAGACAGAAATAAAAAATAATGTTTTATTCTTCAGTATTTTCTGGAGCTCTTTATTCTTTTATGTAGGCTTATATTTCCATCTGGTATTAATTTCCCTGTGCCTAAAGGTTATCCTTTAATATTTCTCATAGTCCTAAGCTGCTAGTAATGAATTACTTTGAGTTTTTTTTTTTCTTTCCACATGGGGGAAGGGACTATAATATTGTTCACAGAAAGACTTCAAATGTCAGACTGACATACATTATAACTACAAGCCAGAAAACCAAGTCATCTAGACTAATGGAATGTGAAGTTACTAGGAAAAAAATGGAATTCTTTTTGATGCATAATGACAAGGTTTATCTATAACATGCCAACGTTTTCAATGACTCTTGAGTTTTATATTCTGAAAAGACTTTAACTAGTTTTTGGTTTTTTTTGCAAGATATTTTTGCTGGGTATAAAATCCAAAATTGGCAGGTTTTTATTTATTTATTTTTTTTGGAGAGGTTTTCGCTACAGGGCCTGTGCACTCGCCAGACAGAGAGAGACATAGAGACAGAAAGCGAGGATGGTCACGCCGCAATCCCTTCTCCTCCATTCTCCTCTCAGGATCTTGGGCACATGCGCACACGCCCCCAGTGTGAGTTCTAAGCCACCGGGTCTGAGACACGAACCACGGTCGACTACGTGGGAGTCCAGCGACATAGCCATTATGCTAACTGCTAGGTCCCAGGTTTTTATTTTTTAAAGTGCTTTATGCATGTGGCTCCACTGTCTCTTTGCCTAGTTTCATGCAAGAGATATACTGTTGTCCATATCCTTGTTTCTTTACACATTCATATTAGTCTTTGATTTTTAAAAATATTTTCTCTTTAAGAATAGTTTTGTTTGGTTGTGATGCCTTAGTGTAATTTTCTTCATGTTACTTGTGCTTAGGGTTTATTGAAATTCTTGGAACTGTGAGTTTATACTTTTCACTAAATTTGGAAATTTGTCTTTATTTGTTCAAATGTCTTTTATCACCCCCTCTTCTCTGTACTCCAGTTATACACATATTAGACTGCTTGGGATTGTTCCATAGCTTAAAAAGTTCTGTTCATTTTTTTTTCCAGTCTCTTTTTCTCTGTGTATTTTTAAAAATAATTTCTTTTACTATAGTTTCAACTTCACTAATCTTTTTTCTTAGACATCTAGTCTACCATTAATTTTAAAAGTTAAAAATTTCTTAATTTTTTATTCCTGGTACCACTACCACAATTTACAGGGCAATATACCTGATGTAATGGAAAGAAAAAGAAAAAGGCAAAGCTACAACAGATAAAAGAGCTCAGGAATGTACATCTAATTGACACTACATTGCATTAATCAATAGCTGCACTTTTTGCAAACTGTGGCTATCACAGTCCTGAACAAGTAGGGTTTCCTGTTTAAGCTGCAGTAACTTTTCTGACTATGGATCATCGTTCCTCCTGTGGCAGATTTTTACAGTTCCTTCTAATGCATTTGGGGCGGCTGTCTCAAAGTAACCTGCAGCTTTCCTGACACCTCCTTGCTTTCTCTCCTGCTAAGAACTGTAGCCCTTTTCTGCTGTTTTTAGAACCTCCTGCTACCATATCCACCACTTCCACCACCAGATCCATAACCACCACCATAAGGACTGCCCGAGCTTCTTCCACCAAAATTGCCCCCTTTCATGGGTCCATAATTTGATTGCTGTTGTCCACTGTAATTTCCGAAATCATTATAGTTTCCACCACCACCGTAGTTACCACTGCCAAAATTTCCTCTTTCATTGTAACCATCATATCCTCCACCACCACCACCATATCCACCGCCTCCACCCCCTGGCCCCCCCCCCCCATAGCCCCCTCTACTGCTACAACCAGGCCCATCGCCATAGTTGTCACCGTCACCTCCAAATCCATTATATCCACCATCACCTCCTCCATAACTACCTCTGCTGCCACCACCTCCACCACCATAGCCTCCTCTTCCACCAAAGTTTCCACCATGACAAAAATTACCTCCACCACCTCCAAAGTATCCTCCACGACCCATAAAGTTGCCAGATCCACCTCCACGACCTCTTTGTGATCCAGCAGACTGCATCTCTTGTTTAGGAAGGGCCTTTTTCACTTCACAATTATGCCCATTAATAGTGTGGTATTTCTGAACAACAATTTTATCGACTGTATCATGATCATCAAAAGTTACAAAAGCAAATCCTCTCTTTTTCCCACTCTGTCGATCTTCCATAACTTCTATGGTTTCAATCTTGCCAAACTTTTCAAAGTAGTCTCTCAAATTATATTCTTCCGTATCTTCTTTAATACCACCAACCAAAATTTTCTTCACTGTTAGATGGGCACCAGGCTTTACAGAATCCTCTCTAGAAACAGCTTTCTTTGGCTCCACTACACGTCCATCAACTTTGTGTGGCCCGGTACACATTGCTGCATCCACCTCTTCAACCCAAGAGGAAGTCACGAAACCAAAGCCCCTGGAACGTCTTGTTTGGGGGTCTCTCATTACCACACAATCTGTGAGTGTGCCCCATTTCTCAAAATGTTCTCTTAAACTATCATCTGTAGTTTCAAAGCTCAGGCCACCAATGAACAGTTTTCTCAACTGCTCTGGTTCCTTTGGATCATGACCCTCCTCCCCCCGGCAGCAGTGGCGGCGACGGCCGGAGTCGGGCTGGGGGCGACCAGGCGGCAGTTTTACCTCCATTTTGAGACCGGACTCGCCTCTTCCAACTCAAGTTCAATATGGGACCGAGAGGAAGATTTCTAATATATTTTTAAAGAATTATTTTGTATTTATTTAACTTTGTTTATTTATTTACTTATTTTAATTTGACCAGAGAAGGACAGAGTGAGACCAAGGGAGAGAAGGAGAGAGAGAGAAAAAAAATGAGAAAGCAAGTCGCCAGGACTAGGATTTGAACTACAGTCAGCCATGTGGGAGTCCAGTGCTCTTAATAACCATGCCACCTGCTGGCCCATCAATATATTTTAGCTCATACATTTTAGTTTTTATCTCCAAAAGTTCAATTTAATCTTTTTATTTTTTGGTCTGTGATGTCTCTGCAAATTCAATCTTTTCTTTAGCTTATTAAAATATGAAATGTGGTTATGATAACTGTTTTAGTGTCTTTGTCTATTAATTCTATTATTTGTATTTCTTCTGGGTTAATTTGGGTTGATTGAGCTTTCTCTTTAATACAGGTCGTATTTTCCTTCTTTGCATGTCTGAGAATTTTTTAAACTCCCCTTGATCTTTTACAATCTCTTAACATATGCATCAACATCATTATGGTTTCCAGTTCTTTGACCTCTTCTTTTTTTCTTTTTTATTACCAGAGGATGTGTATGTTTTGGGGGTGGGGGGAGACACCGTGCACCTTCCAATGGGGCATTATCATGCCACAATCTTTTATCCTCCACTCCACCTTCCTATTAGGGTTTTGGGCATGCAAATGTACCCAGTGTGTTTTTCAAGCCCTAGGGTGGGATTTGGACCACATGGTTGGCCATGCAGAATCTGACTCCTTTAACCATTGTGGCAGAGGGCTGGCATTAGCTAATAATTTTTAAATTGATGCCAATCAATTTAAATTATACTTTGTTGAGTGCCGGATATTTTTATAATTATTGTTGGGCATTGTTCTGGTACACAGTTACTTGTAAACTGATCCTTTTCATATCTTGCTTTTTTTCTTAAGTTTAATTTTTTAAGCTTATTTCTTCTGTGCATGAGAAAGACAGACAGAGAGAAAGCCCCCTCCAACAGTAGTCCTGTGGCTACACTCCATCCCCAGCCTTAGCCAGTCCTGGATCATGGGCATGTGCGTGCTCAATGCACTCAGAGAGGTTGTGAGATGTAAATCCACATGTAACCCCCACATGCGTCAGCCTCACAGAGTGTTGCATTTTATCACTGCATTACCTTCTGGTCCCTCATACCTTCTTTTTACACTCTGTTCGGCGGGGCGGTAGCAACATCAATGCTAGGGACGAATTTGCCCAGAGGGCAGGTCCTCTGACTGCTGCGGGCCCGTGATGCTTTCTACTCAGACTGTTGTGACTGGGAACAATTCCCTAACTCTGAGCTCTGGGGATTGTTCCCACTAATCCTTTTGGTGGTGCTTTCTCTAGCCATGGGTGACTTCTACATGTGTGCACACTGGGCCATCTGTGGCTCTCTCCTCTCCAGCTTTCTGTTCTGTGAACTGGAGCTGCCTGGCCTCCAGCTGGTATCCCACTAATGGGAGGGAGGACAAGGGCAGGATCTGACTGCCTGGGGTGAGCCATTGGCCACCTATGGGTCTGACAGAAGTGGCCCTCTACCATGTCCTTGGTGACCCTTTCTACGGCACTTAAATAAACTGCCAACATGCAATCTCAGTTTGTTTAGGTATTTATTTTTGTCCTTAGAATTTTACGACTTGCTCCTGCTTCTCCAGTGAAACTTGGAGATTGTTATAATCAGGAACCATACCTGTTTCCTAGTAGTGACAACACTCACAAGCCACTAAGAGTGATATTTGTAGCGCACAAAGCTCTGTCCCACCCACAAACCCCTCCACAGTCTGGAAACAGCTCTCACTATCCCCTGGTGGTTATTACCTGAAAAGTCCAGCAGTCGTGCGTGGGTGACCCATGTGAAGCCTCACAGGGAGGAGTGCCCCAGGCCTTATTGGGGGAGCTTCCTGAGGGACTTATGAGGGAGGGCGAGGGTATTGGTCAGGCAGTGCTGCAGGGCTGGCAATCATGCTTGACATGTGACATCAGGTGTCCACCCCCCCCTTAGGCATTATACCAGAAGACCATGTGTGCCCTGGACTTACTCCTACAGACCTTCATCTCTGAAAACAAGAGCATGGACGAGGTCTGCTTCCTCCTGCAGGTGAGGCTCAGGGAGGGAAGATGGAGGTGGGGTTCAGAACTGAGAGTTCTCAGTCCCCACCTCATGCCCAGGGCTGGCTTTAGAGCTCCAAGGTCCATCACATAAAGAATGTGCCAAGAGGGACCAGCAGTTAGCGTAATGGCTATGTCACTGACTCCCACGTAGTCGACCGCGGTTCACGTCCTGGACCCGGTGGCTTAAAACTCATGCCGGGCGCATGTGCGTACGTGCCCAAGATCCCGAGAGGAGAATGGAGGAGAAAGGATTGCAGCGTGGCCATCCCCCCCTGGGGGGTGATTTCTCGCTTTCTGTCTCTGTGTCTCTCTGTCTGTCTGGCGAGCACACGTGCCCTATAGCAAAAACCTCTCCAAAAAAAAAAAAAGAATGTGCCAAGAGTGTCCGGTTAACAGACTCACCCTACACCATCAAGCAAGCACCCTGGAGGCTGAGAAGTGCCCACTTTCTTGTCTCTAGTAAGATGGGTAATTCAGAAAAACCACAAGCCCTGCCAAGGAGAAGGCTAACCCACTGACCTCAACTTCTGGGGTCACTGCAGACACGTGGGTCTGAGGGTTCTTAGATAGCCACTTCTTCACATGTGCAAGCCACGGATTCTTTAGAAACGTGTTGTTAGTCTCCATGTGTTTGGAGAGTGGTTTTATTGTCCTTCTGTTATTGATTTCTGATTTGATTACATAATGTCAGTGGACATACCCTGTCTTTAACACACCCTAACTGTGAAATAATTAAGTTCTTTTAAATTTTTTGTGATTAGTTTTATTGCTCAAGGTATGGTCTGTCTTAGTGAACAACTTATGCCCTCATGAAAGAACATGTGTACTCTGCCATCATGGGTGGAGCATTCTAACGTGTCGGTTAGGCCCTGAGAGTTGATTACATTGTTCAGATCTTCTATGCCCTTGACAATTTTCTGTCTAGTTGTTCTATCATTTGCTAAAACAAGAGTATTAAAGTCACCAAGTACAATGTTAGATTTGTACATTTTTCCTTCCACCTCTATCAGTTTTCTTTGGAGGCTGTGTTATTTGGTGCATACACATTTAGGAGTGCTCTCTTCCTAGTGGATTTAGTGGATGTATCTTTTTAATCCTTTTATCACCTTGTGATGTAATCACCATCCCTACCTCTTGTCCTGGCCACAAGGTTCCTTGAGACCCTATTTGCCTTCACAGTCTCTGTGAACCTGGGGCTTTATTGAACATTATGGAATGCCCTCTTTTTTTTTTTTTTAAGAGAGAGAGAGAAATTTTTGCTGTAGGGCATGTGTGCTCACTGAGAGACTGAGAAACAGAAAGGAAGAAATTATCCTCTCGAGGGGATGGCCATGCTATAATCCCTTCTTCATTCTCCTCTCGGGATTTTGGCATGTATGCACATGTGCCCAGTGTGAGTTTTAAGGTGCTGGGTCCAGGATTCAAACCACTGTCGACTACGTGGGAGTCCAGTGGTGTAACCATTATACTACCTGCTGGTACCATTGTTCTGGAACTTCTGATCTGAAATATATATTGGGTCCTATTTCCTAATATATAGCTCCTAAAACCTTGGAATGTTCCAGAGCAATCAGAGTCTTTTGTATGCTATTGGTCGACTGGTGGCGGGGGGCCCTATGTAGCCCCTGGCTAGGTAGCCATCACCTGGACACCCAGTTTGGTCATCACCCTGCCAGAGACTCTGCTCAGGGTCAGGGCCAGGGTCAAACTGGGTGTCTTGGGCGGGCTTGTGGGCAGGCAGTCCCTCAGGCCCTCCTCTCTTGGTCCCAGCACGCAGAGCCCTGGCTGAAGTCAGACGAGGGCCTTGAGTGCCGGCGGGCGGTGCAGTCCATCTCCCTGCTCCTGCAGTATGTGGCAGACGTCCTGAAGTTCACGGTGAGTTCCCTGTACCCACAACTCACGAAAGGGGGGCTGCAAGGACAATGCACACTGCCTCCCCACTGTACTGGCCGATTCTTGTGGTCAGTACTGAGCATCTGCGTAGGGCCAAATACCGTGCACCATGTGGGAGGACAAGACAAAGGCCCCTGCCTCTGGAAAGCCCACAGGCCCAGGGCTGAGGTTGCTATTCAAATAGAGTGGTCCAGGAAAACCTAGTGGGAGTACAACATGTGGACTTGAAGGAGGACGGGGCAGGAGCCAGTGGCCCCTGGGAGGGAAGCATTCAGGCCGAGGGGACAGCTGATCAACCCTGGAGACCCAAGCTCTAGGGCCTGATCAACCGAGTAGCAGGAAGGAGCGAGTCCTGTCAGGCCCCTGCTTACAGAGTCCATCTTCAGTAAAGTACCACTGCTCTTGAATGGGGAAAGGGAAAGTGCTTTTAACAAAAGGTGCTGAGACAAGTCGAGTTCCCCACAGGGATGAAAATGAGCCTTGTCCACTCCTCTGTCGCCACAAGAAACTACCACACTGGGTGATTCATAAAGGATAGAGGCCCATTCCACTCACAGTTTTGGAGGTCCGAGGCCAAGAGGCTGCACCTGGTGAAGGTCTTCCTATTGCTGAGGACTCTGCTGAGTCCTGAGGTGGCCCAGGGCACCATGTGATGTCCCGACCCAGGGGGGACAGCCGAACAGTTTTCCTGAGTGAAGGAGTGAGAGCCGGGACAAGCGGCATAGTGTTATAGCACAGAGACGACACCGTGTCTTCAGTGTCATCTGTTTATTGTGGGCAGCAAGGTACAGCACGGAGACGACACAGTGTTACAACTCTTTAGGGTCGCGTCGTCTATTGTGAGCAGCACGGAGACGACGCAGTGTCACAGCTCTCCAGGGTCATCCGGAGACGATGTAGTGTTACAACTCTTTAGGGTCGTCTGGAGACCGTGTGGTGTTTCAACTCTTCAGGCTCTCCTGGTCGTCGTCTTCTTCCTGGTC